AAAAATTGATGACAGAGAATATTGAATTTCTGTTTTTCTGGCGATTCATCTCAAACAACAAGCTTTTAGAATATGATCTGAAAACGCTCTCTGTACTGCCGCTTCTCTCTGTTATTCAGTCTCTCCCCATTGCCCCCTCCTCTTCTATAGAATGGAAGTGAAACAATCAGTACGTTCCTGAACACTGATCAGCTTCAAGCTGAAATGTAAAGCTAACGAGCTGTGAAAACCCTCGCTCTTGCCTCGCCTCCTTGCCTCGGAGCAGACCAAGCCTCCCACAGCCACGCCTCTGCTGCAATGTTCTATCTTAACAGGGCGCTTAATAAAATTCATGATGATATTACCTGGAAAAATAACGTAAAAGAAAAACCTCCCCATCTATCTCGCTTTTCGCCCAAGGCCCTTGACAGAACTTTTTGAAGACGCATGTAAATTCAACTTCAAACATTCTCCATCTTTAATTCAAAGGACTAATATTGAGATGCCGAGATGTTACAAAATGATGTAGTCAAACTGCTCAAAATAAGTCTTTGAAATTAATCAAGCAGTACTTCGCTTAGGAGAAAGAAAGGGAGAGACTGACTGAGACCATGACAGTGACGGGTGTTCGAGAAGGAACAACAGCAACTGAATGAGAGATAAAATGTAAAATTTTCCTTAAACAATCTCTGATGTTCTTGATGCTGGATTCTTATCCCATTCTACCCACCTCAGTACATCAGAGCCCAACGTCACTGCAGCAGCCTAATTAGTAGAGTACTATGGCTGCTGGTCCGATGAGGGCCTGTCTTTCATCAGTCTCTGAAACCCCATTAACCTTTTGGACAGGCTGGTGCTTTGATATCTCAGCTGTTTACAGCTCCCCTTTACTTTCTAAAAGCGTTATGTTTCAGGTGCTTGGCTGACTGCACGGACTAAATATAGGCACTATGTAAGATTTCCCTGGAAAGGGACACACTCTAGGGGCAGGGGGTCTGCTCTGTGTGTGTGGTGTGTGTGTCTTCTTGTATTTCCAGGCTTATGAGGACCAAATCTACTTAGAAGGTGATGCAGAAAGCCCTTTACAGAGGAGAATTTCACTTACATGAGCAAGTCATTTACAGACAGGATTTTGGTTAAGGGTTGAAACTATAATTAAAATGTGTCTAAAATATGGTTCAGAGTTAGTTAAGATTACATTTACTAAGGTTGAGTGTGCAAACATGTACTTGTGTGCATGTATATTTGTATGCATGAGTGTAAATGGTCTATTAAGAGTTATGTACCCATCATTTGTGATGTCAACTCAAGCACCGAGCTGCTGATTGAATTCTTTAAAAACGTCTCTTTATTTATTAACACTGGAACTGAACCCATCACTGACTCCTAATGCAATTTTGTGATCGCTTCTACAAGCCAGCTAGCCTGATTTTAAGCACGTATTACTGCAGAAACAATCCAGCCCGACTAAAAGAACTAAATTATCCAAACTTTAAGTACAGTTTGATTCTCCTCAGTGAAAGGCAAGATATGGTATAAAAACACTCAAATCAGTAACTAAATGATAGAAAGGTGATTTGGGGTGCAGCAGTTTATGCTGTTGTTGAATTGTACAGCATTATTTAATGAGGTTAGGCTAAATAGCAGAAACTCCGGTCAGTTTTATGTTGTTTCATTGTTCCATCACAGTGTGATAAAACAAAGAAACAGACTTTAGACTACACAGTAGTGTCACAACAAAAAATATCCACCAGCCTGACCCCAACACAAATTCTACAGTACATGTAAACTATTACAATGTTTCAGTCAGTCATTCCTGTTTCTATGCATCCACACTGTACATATCAGTACTGCTCCACTTTCCATAGAACTATAAATACATATGTGTGATGACAGATATGACATGGCTGTATGTTAGGGTTTGGTTTACAGGTTCATTTGAGCAAGGCTGAGGGTGTATGTGTGTGTGTGTGAAGACATTTTGGATGGTCTGTTTATGGGTAAAGACTTGGTTTTAGAGTTAGAATTAGGATTGGGGTTAGGGTTAGTGAGTACAAGCATGTATGTGTTTGTGTCTGGTTAAATGAAAGTTTTACCTGTGCCTTTGTTGCGGTCCACGAAGCAGTACTTCAGTTCATATTCTTTCAGAATTTCATGGACTTCCTATAAAGAGACAGAAAGAGAGAGAAAGACACAAGACTTGAGCCCAGAGATCATCAAAATGGTGGTTCAAAAGTTTGTCTGACCTACTATGTTGGGGGTTTCAAGTTGTGGGTTGCTTGGACCCTACTATCATTTTAGCTAATCTACATGCTGTTTAATCCGAATTAAACTTTGGTTCAATTAATTATTAGTCTAAATGGGTTTGGGTCAAGAATAATGCAAATGGGGCGCCCGTACAAAGGTTACCAATTATGTGTGACCAAAATTGAAGAATTACAGAATTTCAAAATCTGTCAACAGCAACATCTGAATTGCTATCAAATGTGTCAGTTAGTTTGCAACAATCAGGTCATCTGTTAAATCAGTGACATTTTAGCAAAAGACCAAAATCCATTACTTTTACCAAAAAAGGAACATGCAATTATATACGGTCAGTGAACACAACTCAGCAGTAATTGTCAGGGGAAGTCACAGAGAGCCATCTCATAATAGTACTACAGCCAGGCAGTTATTATGAACAAACCAACTCCTTTAAATAATAACGAGTATTCAAATAGTCACTATAACTTGAATTTAGATCAATCTTTTTTTTGCTCATTACGCTTATGAAACCTTATTTTTTGACACTTGAGCAAACTCTTTTCCTTCATGATAAACTCTTTGATGGTAGACTTCCTCAACTGCAGTAATTTGTCTCTAACGGGTAATTATGTTTTTTAAAAAAGTGTATTCTTAAGATGAAAAGCTTTCGGTCTCCTGTCAGGTTTATAATCACAGCAGCCCACCACACTGCACTCAAATCCACATGAGGACCACACACACACACACATAATAAATCCGGAATATATTTTTTAAAGTAGAGCGTAGTCCACTCTGCTGAAGAAATGTTTTATATTGTCTCTCTAGTGACAGTATATGATAAAGTGAGACAGGAAAGGGAGCAAAGAGACATATGCAATAGCACAGCAAGAGATCCTCACACCCTGTCTGAGTGTGTTATGAACTCTGCCGCACGCTGCTAACTCTCTGCTAGCATTGGTACCTTCCTGATGGGTTTCACTGTTACGTAGACACACAGAGTCTCTACTGCACACAAGTAAGTGACAGCACAAACTGTTCAGAACTTGACAACAAGTGTTGTTTTTTTTAGATATGCTCCTGTGATATGAGCAACCTTATGGATCCAGTCACAGTCAAACCTGTCCAAGAGCACAATGGTTCCAGATCGAACAGGAACTCTGCGTAGGCGGAACGACGGAACAGTGAGCAACAAAACAAACAAACAAAC